CACTGAAGAAGGCCACCAAATGGATGTAGTTGTAAATGGTCATTAAAAAGAGTTTAGGAGAGGTATATTCGCTTTAGATTTAGTTTACTTTAAGATAGGCAGTCAAAATGCGTAATACCCGAATTTAAGCTATATAATATAACAAAGCAGTAATACATCAGTTTATAGATGACGAAAACTTCTAGTTCCAAGCATTTCGTAGCTCTAAAAGGTTCTACTATTTTAGAATATTTGGATTCCAATAAACTAACTACTTGTCGGTATTACTTAGTCGAAAGGGCCTTCAAAAACACTACACTCGATCCTGGGCGCACGGTTCTGGAGTGACACTTATCTGATTCCGCGGGTTTGGTGAGGGTTAGGCAAAACTTAACTTATCAAGTCGTAAGCCCGATAAGCCCCAATAAGTGCGATACTCGTGGGATTGACTGCCGACTGATTTGGGCACGGAAAACAAAATCAAAACAAACACCAAATCCGCGATCACATTTCTCCATTTCCGTGTGGGTGAGTTCAGTGAGATCGCTAGACGATCGACCTTTGCAACCTGACCACATCCACAGCTCGGCTCATCCCAACTCTGCTCCTTTATCGCTCTGATTGGAGTGAAATCGGGCTCTCCTTGGAACCAGTGATAAGTTAACTAATCGCGGCTATTATTGTTGAAAATGACATATCGGGAATTGGATTGCTTTATAATGACAGCGCTCCCAGCATATGGAGAAGTGGATCTCACGTGAACAGCTTTAATAAAAGTAACAACAAGACATGGGCTGTTTGCCATTGTCTATGCAGCGATTATCTTTAACTAGCGAAAAAACCCAAGAGATAATTTCAGCTAAAATTAGGGGCTTACTCGATCCACGATCGTGACTCACTCAAATGAACAATTGGCAACTGAAGGAGGAAGTGGGCACTTCTATTTACACAGCTAGTGGCAGCCGACTGGTTTTGCTAACTAATTTAACTAATTTCTCTTCTATAGTGGCTGGATACCCATAATTCATTGGGATCTGTATTCACCCCAAGTCAGAGTTGCTAATGATGTGCGGTTGACTTTGCTGGCCAAAGAAAACAGAAACACAAACACAAAAAGATGGAATCAAAAATGCAAACAACTATATCCCGACTTGATTGAAAGGTAAATACTGCACAAATGGACTGGAGAGAAGGATGGTGGGCCATGGACAAAGGATCCCGGCTTTGTAGCCACCTGCTGGGACCACCTGTTTAGATATGCTGCGGACAAAGGAGTCCGGAAGCAAGACAAAGGGCATAGCGATGTGGAAAATAATCAGTGATAAAATAAGAGCATAAAAGCACCGCCACCAAAGGGGTGGTTGCATACGAATTTTGGGAGTGGGGCTGGAAGTTCTCTGGGGTGGTCGGTATGAAAGGGAAAAGTTGTGTGCATTATCCGCCGGATTCATGTTAATAGGCCTCATTTAACGCTGCCGGGGTAAACGCCGAGCGCTTCCTCTTACCAATAAAACCATAAAAATCACTTGCTTCCCGCCTGTGCAGACACAGACATATTGGCAAGCAAACCCACGTACCGCTTACTGGCACTCGTACTTCTTGGGGAACACAGTTTCTGTTTCATGTTTTGTGTTTGGTCTTATCAACGGAGGTACATTCGGTGTGTGTTGTTTTATATCTTTTTACCTGAGCAAGAGGGGCCCACCTTGTAACCGATGAAACAGGGTGTCGACAACTGTGTTGCCTCCTCAATGGGCAAATCTTGTAGCAGACGGCGATAACCGCAGGAACACGGGGCTCCCAAGAAGCTACAACGGGCCCATCGAAATAGAAAACGAGAGGAGTGCACAAGTTGCGTATTTATAGATACCCAGATACCCAGATACTTAGATACCGCCGCGCACGCCTTATCAATGTTCAAGGTATCGACTGAAATGCCGTTCAAATATTTACACCCAGCAGCAAGAAGATATCCCCCAAACCCAAACCGAGGCTACTGCTCCAGAGTCCGGAGACGATGATAAGCGGGAGCGAACATGGGTGCGCTAATTGCGGAATGATAAAACCACCAAGTAGTAGGTATCCAAGCGGGCTGCCATGGGCACTCCCCCTTGTATTGATACCTGCCCCAGGGGCTAAGACCACGGAAATGTGCCACCATCTCGACTGCTGTTGCCAGGATTCCGGATTGCGTAAAATAAAAGAAAACGCCCTGCAGGTTTTCCAGTTTGCCAGTTTGCCAGCCAAATGTCGAAATACCCTGTCTGGATGTTATTTCGTTATTTACAACAGTGAAATGTTTAACCACATGCTTATACATGACAGCTAGAAAGTTGACAGAGTAGCGGGTATCTGATAGTCTAGAGGGTGCCCTATAGCTGTTGATCGCAATGCTATCATGTTATTCTACAGGGCTTAAAGAACATCTTTAGAATTAGTTCAAAACTATGAACCTAAATGATAGAAATATATTAACCAAAGAGTCAAATATGGAAATTGTGCAAATACTCGCACTTGGATAACTAAGCTACATAAATAGTGGCTGAAGAAGTCCATAAAACTCTCTGCAAGGGTATGACAATTAAATAGAATAGGAATTTGTATCTCTGCACACTCTGTTACTGCCAGCATTTTCGACTCGTATTTGCCTAAACCGGCCCCTCAGGAATACGGAAAAGCTCCTGAACCCCAACACGTTGCTAGAGAGTCCTTCGGAGGATGGGGTACGGCATCGAGGACGCGGATGTTACTCCGCGCTTCTCCGGGTTGTTGGCAGCTTCGAGCATATTACATAAAATAAGAAAAATTATGATTTCCACAGGAGGGTAAGAAGTGGGTACATTTCGGAGGGGCTGGCTGTTGCTTAACTGTCAAAATCGTGTAATTTAATAAAGTTCGCTGCGGGATATTGTTTTTTATGGAAGCCAGGCAGCTTTTGCCAGCTGCCAGGCGGGGAGTGGCTGGAGATCTCTGGCTGGTCTTTTTCACGGGGGAAGTGGAATGTGGCTCCTAAAGTGTGCTGCACAAACACAAAAATATTCAGTTCACTCCAGTTACATACGGCATTGCAACAACGTAATGCTGTCTTGTTGCCCGCCACAGGCACTCCACAAACACACTCAAGGGGGTCTAGAACACCGACAAATATATCTATATACATTTACATATACATATATCTATATATATAGAAAAATATCTATCACTGTATATGAGCGGAGCTGCGAAAAGTTTTCATACATTCCACTTGTTTACTTCAAAGCGGCGAAAAAGTTCTTACTTTACGAAATACACAGAACTTGTGCGTCGTGGTAAGTGGAAACCAAATAAATGTTGGAATAAATAAATAAATATTTGTTCAAGTTGTTTTTTCCAGTTCTTTAATCCACTTAACATCTTTAAATATAGAAAATAATTAAGAAAAATGGTGTATCAATCATCAGTAAACCTCTTAGGATCTCAGTAAATATGAAAGCATTCTGCAATTTTGTGACAAAATTGTTTCGAATTTTCCCATACAATAACCTACTTTAAAGCCAACCTAAATAAACAAAATATTTAAGAAAAATGGTGTATCAGTCACTAGCAAACCTCAACTAAAACTAGGGGTCTTCAATTTGATTAAAAATGGAAATATTTCTTAGGATCTCAGTAAATATGAAAGCATTGTGCAATTTTGTGATAACATTTTTTCGAATTTTCCTGTACAATATATTCTTTAAAGCCAACCTAAATATAGAAAATATTAAAGAAAATGTTGTATCAGTCATAAGCAAACCTCAACTAACACAAGGAGTCTTCAATTTGATTAAAAATGGAAAATAAGTGTATTATATTTCCTTGGATATCTGTAAATATGAAAGCATTAGGGAATTTTGTAACACAATTTTTTCGAATTTTCCCATACAATATATTCCTTAAAGCCAACCTGAATATTCCCTAACAAAGTTAGTCCCAGATGTCTTTCCATTCTTAGCCGACGTCCCCAACCATTTGTGTGCCGTTTCTTTTTACGGAGCGAAATTCCTATTTTATTTTATTAAGCAGTGAAGAAATATAAAAGTAAACAGTTGGCTCCAAAAACACACATGACTGTGTACTGCTAAAGTGAAAAAAGAAAAGCAGAGGACGGGCCCACCAAAAAACCCACGCCCCCACGTTTCCTGCCCTGCGCCATATGAACGCCCCATTATTTACTTAACATAACTTGAACATTCGCCTTCAACCCCCGAAAAAAGAAAGCTCTACAGGGGGAGCATCAAACTTCCAAAAAACAGAAAAGGAAAAATTCGAAAGGTGGGTGGCTGGGCGGTTGGGTGGTGGAAAATGGTGGGGAGGTCGCTTGGCTTACCTGCCAGCCGGCAGTTGGCTAGTCAAAAAGCTGTCGTCGATGCTAAGCGCAGACCCAGAAAGCCATCAAATATGCAGGAGGTGGGAATGTGCAGGGAGGCTCCACCATTTCCACCATTCCAACTCCCATTCCCCGCCACCCGAATCCGGAAAAATGGCGAAAAAATGATTTATGTGGACGCCATAAAGGAACGGAGCGAACGGCAACGAAAAGCCAACAATAACCGGGAAAAATAACAGAATCAACTGATTTCTCAACTTGGCTCTGGGCCTGCTTTTGTTTGCCAGACTTTGGAGGGGGCTCTCGGATAGACCCACAATTTTACCTTCCATTCGGGACTTCATTCTTGTTTTTGCCGCAATGAAAAATGCTGAAAGTGTGCTTCACAGACAGCGGACTCCAATGGTATTGGGGTCACCACCGAGAAGGCATAAGATATTGATGTCCCCAGGGGGAGCTGCTCTCCTGTAGAGCTCCGCCTTCGAGGAATAGCAAAATCTATATAGAAGGTGCACGGTATATCAGTTCTCATCGGAAGCTCTTTCTATGCAGCGCCGCAGAAGACATTTTGCATTACCAACTCAATTACAAAATATAGCTATTACTATGGTTTCACAATTATAGATTAATGTACGCTCTGATAATAAACAAAGAAGCCCAACCAAATCTGTCAAACTCACCCCAACATTCCGATTCTCCCTGTTTGCGTACATCAAAGCACCATTTCGAGTCCAAAACTCAAAACCCAAAATTCAAAATTCAAAAACAAAGGTAAGGGCCAAAAGCATTTCAATATAGAGTAGTTTTCTGTTGGTAATGTGGGACTTCTTTTGCCACAGATGTCCGATATCAACTTGACGGCCTATAACGTCTTTCGCAACGATCTGGCCAGAATATTCAAGACTTTTAATTCGTATACTCAAACCGAGTTTACTGAGGAAATTGGCACCAGCACAAACTTTGATTGCAAAGCTGATTTGGACACCAATTCTTCCCAGAAGAGGGTTTCTTCGGTTTAGATGGAATCCATGGAATTCACACTCCGAAATCAATACGGAATGTAGCAGAATTGCAATTTCCATCTGAATCGGATGACTCCGAGTGCCAAACTTCAGGTTACACCACGGAGAGTGGCTAGCAGCATCCTCTCCTGGGTTTTCTCCTAGAGATCTACGTGCCCACGTGCTACGTGAGGAGTACATCATGGAGAGCTGCGGGAATTCCTGGCCAACGAGATGGAGGCGCAAATGGGGCAGTGATCTAGCTAATATCGTATTCTTCCCAAATTTATAGTGCTTTCTAAAGGAAGATAGTGTGTACACTTTTCGGAGCAATCTGAAATCCAAGACCATAATGGAAAATACAAAATCTTCAACCCCATTCCGAGCATAAGAGTTTATGTATTATTCTGTTTAATATATTTTCTTGAGCTGTAAAAATATTGACCGCGGGCAATACACACATTGGCAGATCCTGCAAAGCGAAGTGAGCTCCTTTAAAAAGTCATCCACTTAATCACTTTTTCAGCGACAAATGGGCTCGCTAGCTTTTCCATGCCTTTTCCATGGACAATCAGTTCTCGAGTGAAGTGTTTGCTCGTACTGCGTGATCTGCGCCTGTTGACATTATGACAAATTACATAAGCCAAAGGCAACAATTGCCGGAACCCATTCCGGAATCGCGGGGAAGGAGGGAGGGAAGGAAGGAAGGAAGGAAGGAAGGAGGAACAAACCGAAAACGGATACGCTTAGGAGGACTTGGAGTGGGATTACGGGGTGGTTCGGCTGTAGGCCCGTTAATAGGAAAGCCACACAAGGACTGCTAACGAAGGACACGCGGCCGGCGGTTGAGCGACAAGTGCGTTGGGAAGAAGTCGAGGCGAAGGGCACCAGGACACCGGGACACCGGGACATCGAGATCCTGGCAGCGGGGTGGATCGTCTGTTTGCTGAGCACTAAGTGCGCCGGGCAAGTGGAAATGATAAACATATTTACACAATTTTTGACGGGCGAACGGGTGAAACAAAACACCCGTGGGTGCAGTCGTGCCCAGTCGAGCACTCTTCCCTTCCCGTTTTCCCATTTCTCCGCCTTTCTGGTGTGCGTACGCACTTGAAACAACCGAAAGGAAAACCAAACCCAAACTCGATAAATATGTTTATGTGCAAATAACAAAATATTTGTCGATTGCCCGAAACGGGTGATGGGCGGGGTGGGACCTTGGCTTCAGGGTAGGGCAGGCTCTAAAGGCAGAGGCAGTGCCAGGGGTTTCAGGGATTCCGGGTTGCCGGGATGCCGGGATGCCGGGGTTCCAGGGGCTCGAAGGAAGCACCGCAAGCGCATAATTCAATTTTTCTGCTCGTTTTTGCACATCGCCCGGCACACGTCACTCGAGTCCTTGGGGACACCGAGGAACTGCCATGCTACACCAGCTAAGCCCTGCCCAGCTGCACTGGGAGAAAAATATTGAAACGCAACACGACTGCACTGCAAGAATACTACACTAAATGAGAAGTCTTCCACCAATCCGCGAAGGTTGGGAACAAGCTTGAACATCCACATTATGCACTGAAATTTCTTTAAACTCTGTATTAAAATATAAATTTCAATATAAAGAAATTTAAGATATCCTAAGGACAACAAGCTTAATTCTACGAATGGAATTTATACAGACAGCATAAGGATTGTCGACTGATATATCATTATGGCCATGTTTGTAGCACTCCGTGGATTTTCCATTCTGATTCAGTAGGGGAAAATGAAGTGCAGACCTCTTCAAAAGACGGTTATTGGTCGGGTTGCCTCGATTGACTAGATTTTTCCAGAGTGCACGCACTTTGCCAGGGATGCAGTGGATATTAGTGGCACGTGGCGAAGGCTCGACCAAGGCGATCCGGAGGTCCCAGCACATGCGGTTTCCGGGATCGCCTCCTCCAGCCCCAGGACGTATATTTATTTGTTTGTAATTACGCGTGTTCTAAAAACGAAATCCCGCCGCACTTGAAGCCGGGAAAATGGCTAAAAACGGCTGAGCCTGCTCTTTTCAATGCCCAAAAACTTTGGCGGGGGACACACGTGCAGTGGACCGCCTCTACTGGTTCCCGGGTATTCCCAGCGCATTAGCAACAATGCCGGAGACATTTGGAGTTTGTCAACAGTTTCGCCTTTGGATTTGGTTACGGCTTTGTCCTCGTCAGCGGCGCGTGTCCCTGTCCGATGTCATCTTCTCCGCTCTCGACGCGACGCGACTCCACTCCACTGAAATCCGCAGTCAGTTGTCAACTTTCTGGGCTGGCTTTTAGTCCGGGGATTGCCGATTGATTTGGCGTGGGATTTTCGAGTGGGACATGTGTACGAGTATGAAACGAAATCATAAATGTGACAGGCCAGGATCTTAAGCAACTCGAACGCAGAAATCCCTTTGACCGGCAGCCCTCCCAGGCAGCAATAAATCATCTCCTTAGGAGCTATTCACCATGCATACATCCTCGATCCCAAAGAAAACTTTCTGCCCCAACTTTGCCAGTTATATATTGAAGTCCCCTCGGACCATATATTCCGTGGCAGAGTGCATAAAAAAGCAGGCGGGCCACCGAGCAGCCGCAACACTGAGCCCTCCTAAAAGGGCATTCGAAATGAGCTCCTCCGAGATGTGAAGATGCGAAGATGCGAAGATGTGAGGATGGCGGTCTGCCACTGGGAAAGCTTTCGTATTTAATTGAAAAACACTTAAGCCCCAGTTCGGGCAGCGAGCATGGAAACGGAAAAGCCAGCGCCAAAGCCAGGCCAACCGCAAGGCTCTTATGTGACCCTAAAAGACCGACCTCATAACCCCAACTCATCTTCATCACAAGACCTTTCTGGTCGCTCATAAAAACAAAGGGCGAGCGCCAACAAAAACTTTGCATAATTAAGGCGCGGCCAGCACATGCGAAGTGTATATTCAAAGGGTTACGGAAGTGGCAGCGAAAAAGATATTTAAACATGGAAACTGAATTTTCAGTATTTATAGTTATAAACAAAATGAGCAGCCCTATAATTTCTCTCATATTTCTAGTATTTTACTTTTTATTTCATTTACTTGCAAAAATTGATTTTAAATGTGCTTAAAAAATATAGTAAATGTTTAATTCTGTATTATTTTTAATGAGTGTTTTTAAAGTTTATAGATTTAATAATAAATTTGAAATATTCGTTAAGAAAGCGTTTGAAAAAGCTTTTCTGGTTATTTGTTACCACCACACTATTCTTGGCAAACATTTTTTTTCTCTGTGCAGGAAAATCTCCTAGGCAGCCTTCAGGTGGACAGGACTGAATCAAAGATGGCATGACTTGGCCACTTACCCTCGAGCGCCCGGTTCCTGGAAATTAAGGCGAGCACCAGTTCGGGATTTGGGTCATCCTGGTCGACAGCCAGGTGATTGTGGTGCGGATGTTGTTGCTGCTGCTGCTGTTGCTGCCCACCGACCAAGTGAGATGCCTGCGGCGTGGGTGGCAATTGTTGCTGCTGCTGCTGCTGCTGCTGCTGATGGATATGCGGCTGATGCTGCTGATGATTATCCATGGCTGACAGGTGCTGTTGCTGCTGCTGTTGCTGCTGCAATGGATGTTGCAGCTGCTGATGCTGGAGTGGCTGCTGCTGGGGCGGATGCTGAAGCTGGTGCTGGTGCTGGTGCTGGTGGTGATGATGTAGCGGTGGCGGTGGTTTCAGGGTTTGCATCATTGCTGAGGGGCCGGCGATTTGAACACGCGCCGTATGAGTTATATGTTTCAGTTAGCTTATTCCAATTGGCACACGGTTATATCTCTAGCCCTGTTGGGTGTTTAAAAACAAATCTTTCTATTAGCGCACTCGATTACTCGGGAAGCACTCGCTTCCCGTTTAGCGTTTAAACGAGACTCCGCTAGGCGGGATCGCTGTCTGCTCGATAACTGGCATTGGTTCGGTCCCAACTGTAGCCCCGTTGACTGTTTTCCCCTTATCGCGGCGGTCTCTTTGGGTGTCGGTTCTTACTGTAGATTCTAGATTCCAGTCTTGCGGCTCGGTTGGGATCGTGCTCAGTGCTCAGTGCTCAGTGCTTAGTGCTCGGCTGCTCTATCAGTTGAAGTAGCCAGGGACTTGAACAATTTGAATTTACTTGCGATACCAGGGGACACTAGACCAGGTGAAAGGCGGGTGAAGTTTATGTAAGTGGGGATGGGGCCGAACTGATCGGTAGATATTCAAAAGACCAGTTGGCGCATATCTATCTATTCATCGTCTGTCACGAGGAGAACTCTCGTGCGAAGACAAACTTTCGGATGGCCACTATTATCTATTTAAAAACGGTCAAGGTCCAGGTTTTTGAATCGAAAAACGAACGGCTAATAGTTCCCAAATCCCACAAAATAGGTTAACACTTTTTGTAAAATATTGGAGCGTAGTATATTAATCGGAATTTCCAATTCACAGTTGATTATTATTTGGAAACTGGTTCAGATTCAAGATCATATAAGCAAAATACCCTAGTATGTTAAAATGACTAAAATCTGGAGTTAGAGCTCACGCATTATTCTTATTTTCTTTGCGTTTAATCTTGAAAGAAACTAAATTCTGTACTGTTAGTTACAAAAGTCAAGCTAAATATTTCACACCCCTACTCTATGTTTCGAAACTCATTTCATAACTATATCAAAAGATGTGTATACAATTTGCTCAAAATAAACACCAACTCAATTTTTTGTTCTTGAATTTGAATTCCAGATTTGAATTAAGCTGCTTGTTTTCCAAGACTTCCCCAAAATATTGGCTTTTTATTGAGGCTTGCGTTCTGCGACGGCCGTGTAACCCGTCGCAATGATTGGCATTTACCCTTTTTAAATTGATTGCGTCACTTTAACACTCAGCTGCAGTATTTGTTAACTAGGTTAAATATTTGTTTATTTTCAATTTTCTTATTTCAGCATTTCTAATTATTTTATTTGAATTTTCTGCGGCACTCGAATGCGAATTTAAGCGAACGCCATTTTGGCGACGGCAACGGCAACGGCAACTTTAACGGTAACGGATTCGGCAGCGAAAACGACGACGGCAAATGCGAACCGAGTGCGGCAAAATGGCGACGGCATGGCTAACGGTGTTTGGCCAACGGTAAGGTAACGGTCTGGAAACGGTAAAGGTAACGGTGTCGGTAACGGTACGGCGACAACCCTGGACACGGCAACACTGGCAGGCGGCTGGTATTGTTGCTGGTGGGAATCCCCTCTATTTGCCGCGCTGCATCTTTATTTATTTTCTTGGCCGTCTAAACTGTCGTCTCTCCTTACTTTGCGCACTTTTTCACGCTTTTTTCCGACTGTGTGAGCTTTTAACGTTGTTGTTTTTTGTTTTTCGCTTTTCGT